ACCTGAGTTCATGAAGCTAGGTGTTGGTTTCCCCTACTGCACCAATTACCGGGTGTAATTCGGATAGGGACAAGACGAATTGGTGATTTTGCAGAAGGTACTGTGAGATAAGAAGTTTGTACGTTTGTATGGGAAGTTTATATGAATGATATGTAGGTGTAGTAGTGTGTTACAAGAAATTACACAGCCATAGAGACACCATGTATAAGTGCGTTACTAGACATTAGGCAGTTGTAGACACACCATGTACAAATGTGTTACTAGATATTAGGTAGTTGTAGACACACCATGTCACAAAAGACAGTGAAGTTAATATTAGGAAGAGCATTGCGGGTTTAGATAATTTATTTCAAGCGTACGAAAGAAGAATCTCAGAATTTGTTAGTAAAAGGCGTATTTGGCATATAGTGCTACATTTATGTTTTATTGACCAATCGACATTCGGTGGGTGATGTGGTCAACATCGCACAGGCCGCCTTGACTTCCAATGACCTTGTACCCACTCAAGTTTGTGTCGACATAGAAGCCAAGTGAATCGTTGTATGATTACAAAAGAGAATTACGTTGAACAAAAACAATGCAATATCCTAGTGTTCTAGATGATTGTTTTTATAATTTGTATATTTGTAATTAGTCTCATCATTGAATAGCCAGATTGTGAATGCAGCTTCTGTTCGCTCGATTCTAACCAGCCTTTATTGCACTTTTGTTTCCAAGATGAACTGCAGTGTTCTTCAGATCATATCTTCTTCTACGCGCCTTACTCCCATATCATGTAGTTGAGTTAGCGCCAGAGACTGGCGAGCAACAACAAGCTTGTACCGGCAACTCCCTTAATTTTTCAAGTTTATATTAGTGTTACTTACCAGCTAACACAGTCTTTAATTCCCCTTTACTCCGATGCGAATGTTTGTCTTTTTGACAGCTAACGACATAAAAATCTTTTAAAATAAATCGTCACATATTATGTATACTCACTCACCCCTCAATTTCCGGTAGTTGAACAACATGGCAGCTATAGACAGCGTGAGACTGAAGCTCAAACAAATAAAAGCAAAGATTAATAGTGGAGATGTGGATAAGTCAGGATTAAAAAAGCTAAAACGTCAGAGAAAAGAACTGAAGGCCAAACTGGCAGCATCTAAGTCGCTGAATGATACCACAGTTGCTATGACAACACTGAGTGAAGATCTGAAAGATGATGATCTGGTAATCTGATGGAGGAGGATAAGGCAGAAGAAAATGCTAATGGTGGTGAAGCCCCTAGTGGAGATGAACAAGGTGTAGATGACTAAATGGAGAGGGCGGTGCAGACTTTGGGAGTTTTGAAAGAGTTGCTGAAATACCACCATCACACATATGGGCTGGTCATGGAGGCACCAATTGTGAAGATGAAACCAAGAAACTCTCCAAGGTCATCAACATTTTAGTGGCAACACCAGGCCGCTTGCTTGACCATCTGCAGAATACAAAAGACTTCTTCTACAAAAACCTGCAGTGTCTGATCATAAACGAGGCAGACAGGATCCTGGATATGGGCTTTGAGGAGGAGATAAAGCAGATTATTCAGCTGCTTCCCAAAAAAACCACAGACCATGCTGTTTTCTGCCACACCATCACGGAAAACCGAGGATTTGGCCAGGATTTCTTTAAGAAAGGAGCCATTTTATGTGGGAGTTGATGACAAAAAAAGATAAGGCAACAGAGGAAGGTTCAGAGTAGGGTTATGTTGTGTGTGAACCAGACAAGCGGTTTCTTCTGCTCTTCACATTTCTGAAGAAGAAGAAGATCATGTTGTTTCTATCCTCATGTATGGCAGTCCGGTTCTACAGCGAGCTGCTCAACTACATTGACCTCTCTGTTATATGCATACATGTCAAGTAGAAACAGACAAAGAGAACACAGACATTCTTCCAGTTCTGCAATGCTGACTGCGGCATCCTGCTATGTACGGGTGAGGCTGCTCGAGGCATGGACATCCCTCAGATGGATTGGATTATCCAGTATGATCCTCCAGACAATCCCAAGGAATGCATCCACAGAGTTGGCAGAACAGCCAGAGGAGAGGGTGTACATAGCAATGCTTTGCTTTTCTTGAACCCTCAGGAATTGGCTTTCTTGAGGTTCCTGTGACAGGCCAAATTTCAGGTCAACCAGTTCCAGTTTCAATGGAGCAAGGTGGCCAACATACAGCCACAGCAGGAGAAGTTGATCAGCAAGAACTATTACCTTGCACAAGACAGCACAGGAAGGCTTCAAAGCTTATGTTTGTGCGTACGCTTCCCACAAACAGAAGGCTATATTTGATGTGACCAAGTTGGACATGACCAAGGTGGCAAAGTCTTTTGGGTTTGCTGTTGCTCCATATGTGGATTTACAGGTCTACAGCAGCAAAGGCCCGCAGACTCCACCTGGACGATACAATTAGGGAGGAACTGGATACAAGAATAACAAACAGGTGAAAAAGTCAAGAATCTTAAAAAATGTCAAGTCCAGATGATGATGATGTTTCAGAAAATGAGATCAGTTGATGAAGAGGATAAATACACATTTGAATCTGCTTACTGTGAAAAAAAAAAAAAAATCAGTGCATGTTGCAGAAAGTTGCACAATGAAAAAGCATCTAGAAAATCTCAGGAGATGTCAATATTCAGAAGTTACGTTGTATTTCGTGAGCAAGAACAATAAATACAGAGGTTTTGGAAAGACTGCGGAAGAAAAGAGAATTACTAAAAGACATTGAACTATTTTGGCTACAATAAAAGATATAAACAAGCTAGATACGTATCCTTTACAGAACGTTGTAGAACCAACCCCAGCATTTTTTGGCTGTTGGGGTTTTTTGGGCAAATTTTACGTTCAGTAGTTTGCTATTGCTTCTAAACAGTCAGCTTTTTTCACCACTGCTTATTTGTTACAACATCACAGGACAGACAAACTTTGCCTGCTACATCTATTGCCGGCCCACAGAGTTGTTTAACACATGAAGATGTACATCATACACAATATCGTGACATTTCTAATGACTTATGATTCCATACTGAGTGACTTCTAGAAGTCAATAAACCCACCATCTCCATTGTCCCATCTGCAAGCAGGTAATACAATCATATCTGTCAGAAATACAAAAAAAAATGTTTTTGCTCATTGAATCCAATCAGCTGCAGTAGCACTGTAACAAGACAGTGGCTGCTGGGTCCAAAGTCTCTGGATTGAGTCTGCAGTGGGAAACATTGCTATGACTGACCGAAGTGCCGCAGGTTGATCCAGCTTCAAATGTCCTGGAAAACACCGAGCAGCCAGATATTGACCATATCATCCATTAAATGCCAATTGGTTTTTACAAATATAGATCAAGCAATCAATCAATCAATCATATGCCGCCTCCATTCTGAAGGTTGGCTGCACACACTCTGTCTCTTTTCTTGGTTGCAGACTTTCTCAGACTGCTGTTCGCCCATATCTTGATGCTGTCCTCCCACTTGTATCATTGTCTTTCTCCTGCTCTTATGCCTTTTCCACCCCAGTAGGTCTAGAACCATATGTGCCAATGGCTTGACAAGGGTCCTTTACTGACTTATACTTCACAAAGAATCTAGAAAATTAATGAACACACTATAAAGAATGAAAACTTGTTTTCTTTGAATGCCAGTTCTGATTTTATTATAAACACATATTGAAGTGTTCAAGCCGCGGTATAAAACATATGTAAGCCAGACTTCAGCTAAACACCACAACTGTTGCGCTAGACAAACACACAGAATCTCTTGTTGACAAGCTGCTCTCTGTTTCTGAATTATGCTGATTTGTCTTTCTAGAGAAAAGTTAATCATCAGTGACATAATAATATACCAGACCACTGGCTTCTATACAATGGATCACAAACATAGAACATATCAGGTATTTTGTCACAGATCAATGTTTGACGAGTTGGTTGGTACAAAAAGTTCATGAATAGCAATAATGGCAGCCATAACTTAAAAGACAATCTGGCAAGTAGACACAATCAGGTGATTTCGTAATTGCAGTTCCAGCTTCACAGCAAAGGGGGTCAACCCATAGCTGCTGCATTCCTGTGACAAAGAAAGCCACACAGAATCTCCATCACTGTCCCTTGTGACTCTGTTCACAAACAAGTCATGGCCACTGATTTACAAAAAGGTGTTTCAACACGAGAAGATTAACTTTAGTGCTCTGTGTCTGATCCCTCAGGCCTATGGCTCAGTCTCTCTCTCTCTCTCTCTGCATTCACCTACTTAGCTTCAGTGACAACCCCATAGGGATCTTCAAAATACCTACACCCAAGAACTGAAGTTAGGTATCCACAGTCAAACCCACAACCTTCAAACTGTGGAGCAGATGGCTGAATCATTTCCCCATGGCTACCCCTTAGATGTATATATCAACAATCTCATAAACTGACACCAACAAATATGAACAGTTTAGGAACACATGACTTCAAAGTGTTCCTAAAGAAAAAAACTAGGCTTATTAATGTGTCTAAAACTGTGTCTATTGTCTAGTGACAGATGTGCAGACTGTGTAACTACAGCTGCCTCAAATCTAGTAACACACGTGTACATGGTGCGTCTACAACTGCCTAATGTCTAGTAATGCATGTGTACATGGTGTGTCTACAACTGCCTACTGTCTAGTAACTCATGTGTACATGGCATGTCTACAACTGCCTACTGTCTAGTAACACGTGTACATGGCTTGTCTACAACTGCCTACTGTCTAGTAACACACATGTACATGGTGTGTCTACAACTGCCTAATGTCTAGTAACACACGTGTACATGGTGTGTCTACAACTGCCTACTGTCTAGTAACACATGTGTACATGGTGTGTCTACAACTGCCTACTGTCTAGTAACACATGTGTACATGGTGTGTCTACAACTGACTAATGTCTAGTAACACACTTGTACATTGTGTCTCTATGGCTGTGTAATTTCTAGTAACACACTACTACACCTACATATCATACATATGAACTTCCCATACAAACAGACCATACATACAATACTTGTACTGAGATCTTAACAGAAAAAGATTTTCAATTACACTTTCAATTCTAGTCATAATACATCCTAATGTCTTGTTTTTTTTTCCATGCATAAAAATGTCACAACATGAGAAACAATGATTTCCTCAGGCAGAATCACTTCTGAAATACAGAAGGCCTTAAAATATAATCACTGAAAAAAGAATCTGCTGAATATTAAAAACAGAGTAATATCACACATAATATTTGAGAAATCTCTTACTTACCCGAATTCATACAAGTCTTGTTAGAATAAATCAAGTTAATGGTACTCAAAAGGAGTGACTTCGCTGCACTAGGGTTTTTCCATATGGCTTTGTCTCTCTCCACAGCTTGGCTAGCTGATTATCAAGAGTATCGATCAAAGAACAAACTCTGTAGCTCCAATGATGATCCCCAGGGATCTCCATAAAAAGTGAACCCAATGACGTTGCTGGGAATGAGCACCCAACTTCACAGTGTGAGGCAAATGGCTTGACCACTTTGCCACGTGACCCTCTGTCAGAATAAATAAACTCATTCAGATCTGTACACATCCTACCTGCAGTGGTGCACCAGGGCCAAGATCATACTGGCCAACACCTGCCTTCATCTTTATGTGATCCTTCCATTATTGGGTCCGATTCTCTGGCTTCACCTCTATGTAATCCTCCCATAAATGGGTTCACCACCAGGGACCTGGCTACACCTCTATGTGATCCTTCCATAAATGGGTCCACTACCAGGGACCTGGCTACACCCCTATGTGATCCTCCCATAAATGGGTTCACTACCAGAGACCTGGCTACACCTCTATGTGATCCTCCCATAAATGGGTTCACTACCAGGGACCTGGCTACACCTCTATGTGATCCTCCCATAAATGGGTTCACTACCAGGGACCTGGCTACACCCCTATGTGATCCTCCCATAAATGGGTTCACTACCAGGGACCTGGCTACACCCCTATGTGATCCTCCCATAAATGGGTTAACTAACAAGGACCTGACTACACCTCTATGTGATCCTCCCATAAATGGGTTCACTACCAGGGACCTGGCTACACCTCTACGTAATCCTTCCATAAATGGGTTCACTACCAGGGACCTGACTTCACCTCTATGTGATCCTCCCATAAATGGGTTAACTAATAGGGACCTGGCTACACCTCTATGTGATCCTCCCATAAATGGGTTCACTACCAGGGACCTGGCTACACCTCTACGTAATCCTTCCATAAATGGGTTCACTACCAGGGACCTGACTTCACCTCTATGTGATCCTCCCATAAATGGGTTAACTAATAGGGACCTGGCTACACCTCTATGTGATTCTCCCATAAATTGGTTCACTACCAGGGACCTGGCTACACCTCTACGTAATCCTCCCATAAATGGGTTCACTACCAGGGACCTGGCTAAGTCTAGCTACTGGACATGCCAGCTGCACCTGGAACAAGATCAAGGTCAGCTGCAGATGACCAGCCTGCACTGTCCAGCAAAGTCTACAGCTGGTGAATGCAGAAGAAAGTGAAATCCGCTTTATATTTTGCTATGTCACATGTTGTGAAAGTCCAGCAGACTGTTATGTATTGTTTGTAACTATCTCTTTCTCAGGGAGTCATGATGTGTTGTTGGTCTGGTTCCATGTATGAGAGACTACACGATACAGAAAGAATGAAGAGAATTAAACCAAATGAATAGATGTAGATTTTGTACAATGTAGGATAGTTCACATGGCACAAAATTAATTCATGTAAATTACACGTATCTTGATATAAAATGACTCAATACCTCTAGTGTCTGTCTTCATTTCTTGCCATTTCTCAGTGTCATCAACAAATGTAATTAAAAATAACCTGCATAGCTAGCAACTATTGATGTCTATAGACGATATACAACAACGACCATTTGTCCAACACATACTTTGTACAACCAGATATGTAAACAACAATGCTATGATTTCCTTGCCTCCTGCCTAATGGCATGGGAGACTACCTCTCAGCAGCCTCTAGTACTTCTTTCCACATAATGATGTTAGGCTGTCTCTCTTTTCTCTGTTGTCCCCCATTATTTCATCTGTAAAAGGCTCTTCATGCTAAAGTGATTCTGACCGTTTCATGCTTTGAAGTAATGTTAAAAAAAAAAGTTAAGGACCCTTTTCCACACCCTTAGGCGTATCAGTACATAGGTCTATACCTATGTTTTATAGACCAACTGGTACTCATTGGGTTGTGTGTTCAACATGGCCACCTTTACTTCCCAGGACCTTGTGCTCAGTTTACCAGGAAGCTAAGATAATTAAAAAAGAAAAAAGAAAAACCAAAACATGTGAGCAAATGATTTTGGACTCCATCCACTGAGTGCAGGTGTTTCAGATATATGTAGGGGTCATCACTGGAGCTATGGACTGGTTGCTTGCAGCAATGCTCTGGGTGGGATAAAACAGTCAGTTCATGGAGACAAATTCACCCA